ATAGATAGATAGATAGATAGATAGATAGATAGATAGATAGATAGATACATACATACATACATACATACATAGAAAGGTAGGTAGGTAGGCGGGTAGGTGGGTATGTATGTATGTATGTAGGTGGGTAGGTAGGTAGATAGATAGATAGATAGATAGATAGATAGATAGATAGATAGATAGATACATAGACAGGATAGATACACAGATAGATAGATAGATAGGATAGATAGATAGATAGATAGATAGATAGATAGATAGATAGATAGATCAGATCGATATAACATGTAGACTTATATACGCTTCGCAGTGCTTTCCAGCCTTCTCCAAGCCGTTTATAAAGTCAGCCTCTTTCCCCCAACAATCTGGGTCCTCGTTTGACCGACCTCGGAAAGATGGAGGGCTGAATCAACCTTGAGCCAGTCAGGATCGAACTGCCGAACTGCTGGCAGTCAGCAAGAATTAACTTGCAGTCCTACATTCTAACCACTGCACCACCTGTCAAGCAACTTTATTTCCCCCCCCACCCCCAAATCCACAGATTCCCCACTGCTAATTGTTTTCCTCCTCTCTCCAAAGCAGGGCCAAAAACAAACCCTGAAAAAACCTTCCAGACATAATCCTGCCCTTCTTCAAGAGCTCAGCCCTGCCTCTCGAGTGGCTTCTGCAAATTCTGCAGCGCCTGTCGTCGTGTCCCCCACCCCGCCGCGAGGGGGGCTTCCCTGCAAGGGTGCTAATCCTCTGCAAGCGGGCGCACACACACAGTGACCGCCCCGCCATACATCCGCGCTGGTTGTGGCTTCCTTTCGCACCTCGGTCACGGCAAGAGCCACCCTGATGCCTTTCATCCCCCCCCCCACCAGGAGCGGGGGAAGGAGTGGAGAAGGGACCGTCTAATGAGATCACGTGAGCCCCGGGAAGCATCTGGCAGTGAGCAGGCCAGTTTACACAGCTTGAGTTGTCGTGGAGACAAAGCACATGACCAGCTCAGCACCGCAAGTCCGGGGCAGCGGTCCAAGCGCACTCTTCGCGCGTTCTGACAGAGAGCAGATGGGGGACTAGTTGGGAGGCCAAAAGACACAGTCGAAGTCTCTTGGCTCTGGCAAACCCTACGTGGGTACCACCATCCTTTGCATCCTGGATTTACAGACACACACACACACACACACACACATACACACACACACACACACTCCTGCGGATCTCATCTGGCCATCCAACACAGAGGGCTTCGTCTCCCAGCAGACCAGTGCCTGGCCCACCGCAAGAACCTGGTCCGCTTCTCCAACCCTTGTGAGTCAAGTGTGGTGTTGTGTTAAGTACGCCTTGGAAAAGCTGTTCTTCTCGTTATACCTCCCCGTGTCACCTTTGTTGAACAAACACCCGCAAAAAACATGCACCAGATTCAGAAGACGTGCCCGGAATGTAGCATTTTTTGGGGAGGAGAATTGAATGGCATAGAGTAGAATAGAACAGAATTAGAATTAGAATAGAATACAGAACAGGTATTAGAGTAGAATGGAATTAGAATGGAATTAGAATAGAATTAGAATAGAATACAGAACAGGTAGTAGACTAGAGGAGACTAGACTAGAGTAGAATAGAATTAGAATATAATTAGAATACAGAACAGGTAGTAGAGTAGAGTAAAGTAGAATAGAATAGAATAGAATAGAATAGAATAGAATAGAATAGAATA